AGCACAAAACGGCTAGCATGTTCATTGGAGTCGTATTTGCCAGAGGCATACCGCAGCCGAAATGACATGTCTACTGTTGTCGAAGGCGTCATATCCAGTGGGTCTGAAGACACTCCGCACGTAACGTCTCAGGCTACATCCGAGCTGTACGTACCCACCAGTTCTCTTGCTACGTCGCCAACAGCCATGCTCAAATCGATCACCGACCCGTCGATAGTGACAGCGTTTGGCTTCATGACGATCATGCCAACCTTTTCATGAGTTCAAGGTTCACGAACCCACATTTCCGACACGATTTATGACGATCACGTACATACCAAGCCAACAGAAAGAGCGTATACTGGGGCTATGGGTAGAACGGCTAACGTAAACGGTACTTCCCTTCCGACGTACTCTAATGACCTGGCAAGCTCGGCTCCCAATAAACCTCGTTATGTTGATGAATTGTGTGGGAGGGTAACGAAGCCTATATATAGTGCTGGACGAAAGACCGGTGAAGAATGCAGATCAGCCTCTATCTTTACCTTGAGCCCGCCATTCTCAACGTCGACGCAATGACCGAAAAGACCATAGACCCCCTTGGACGTCACGACACCGAAAGCAGTACGGATACCGAATCGTGTAAGCTACAGGTGCGCGAGGGTGGGCGTGCGGCATGGCTCACGGTTTTCGGCTCCATATTGGTGTACTACGCCTCCTTTGGAGTTATGAACAGCTTTGGTTTCTTCCAGAACTACTATAGCAGCGACTTTCTGAAAGAGACGCCACCATCGACTATCGCATTCATTGGGACGGTCCAAATGGCGCTAATGAACTTACTGGCTGCTCTTTCCGGTGCTCTTTGTGATCGATATGGTGTTACGGTTAGTACTCGTCCCCGTCGCTCCTTGAAGAAGACTGACGCTTCAGTCAGAACCTCTACCTTGGCTCAGGTGCTGGCACTGTGCTGGCCCTCATCATACTGTCTTTCATACACCCTGGACAGTTTTGGTTGGTTCTGATGACGCAAGGCTTGCTGATGGGCTTTACCATTGCTTTCGGTGTACAGCCAGCAGTCACGGTAGTTGGCCAGCACTTCAAAGAGCGACGTGCTTTGGCCATGGGTTTGGTCTCCACGGGATCGGCGCTGGGCGGTATCGGCTTTCCGCTGATGTTCGATCAACTACTGCCGAGATTGGGCTTCCCGAACTCGTTACGTCTGGCCGCTGTCAAGATAGCGTAAGTAATAGCCAGCGCGTCAGTTTTTCCTCAGCTAACTGTCTAGTGTTTGCTACTTGATCGCCTTGTATATATCTACAAGCAAGCCCAGTGGCAAACCGAATCGCAAAGGGCTAACTTCGCTTATCGACTTCAAGGGATTCGTCGATACACGCTATGCCGTACTATGCGTTGGAACGTGGTTTGCTATACTGGGCCTTTGGATCCCCGCGTACTATCTCAAGCCATACGCCAACACGGTATACCCTGGCAACAAAGTTAGCGACTACTTCTTGTGCATGCTGAACGGCTCCAGCATTATCGGCGCAACTTTGGGAGGCTTCATCGGAGATCGAATCGGCAGACTGAACCTACTCTGGCCCATTACCCTCATCTCTGGCTGCCTTTGTCTCTTCCTATGGCTACTTGGCAATTCCATGGCTACTCTCATTTTCTTCGTCTGCGTATACGGCTTCTTGACTAGCAATGTCACTGCTCTTCCGCCCTCGATAATCGGCCACATCACACCTGACGACAAGTTGGGAGCGCGCATTGGAGCTTTCTACAGCGTTATCGCTGTCGCGAGTCTTGTTGGTACGCCTATTGGGGGCGCACTCATCACGGATCACGACACAAAGGATGGCTATCGATGGTTGATCGTGTTTTCGGTAAGCTACTTTCTACCTATGAGCACATGACCCATGCAAGCACTAATCATCAACAGGGTGCCGCGCTCCTCATCGGATCAGCTTTCATGTTTTTCAGCCGGCTGTTACATGATAAGGCTCTGAGCACGAAGTGGTAGGCTCGTAGCTGCCTCGTTCTCAGTCATAGCTCGAATGAATGACCTCTCGGCACAACCTCTCACAGCGACACTTAGGCGGCCAAAACTCATCGTAGATGACATCGCGAACCTCTTTGACAGCCTCTTTCTTCTCAACGCCAGGAACAACACTTTCTCCCAGCTCTATTCCCCCCATTCCTTCCTTGTATAGCTCTTCCAGCTCTTCAGTAGTAATCCTTAAACTCTTCTTAGCGACGTCGCGTAGCTTCAAGAATCGAACCTGCTCTTCCTCGTCCATGAACCCGTGAAACTTGACGACCTTGTACGGGGCCAAAACCTCAGCCGCGCTCTCGTAGATGAGTCGGTGCAGGGTACGGGGACAATTGAATGGTTCGCCATAAAAGATGCTGACTGGCTGCTGTCGGAAATCGTCTTCCAGATATCCAGTAGCATCTGGTAGCTTGAATATCAACTCATTCAAGTGTGGAATTGTCTCGAACACTTCGTAATTGAGTTGACGTGGCTTTAGGTGCTGCGCGAAAGACCCTGCAGCCACCTTGAAGAAATATAGGCCGTCGATGAAGGAGAGGTGGAGGTATATCTTTCGGATGCCATGGTAGAAGGTTGCGTATCGGTTCAGGTGTGGGTAAAGCTTCGGAAAAGACTTGTACGTCTGCTCGAGCTCCCAGTTCTTGTCGTCGTTCGGAAGACTGTTCACTTCCGTCAATTGACGATGCTTGTCTAGTCTGCGAATGCTGCGCTTGAAGCTGAACAAGCTTTCGGCCACGATGCACAGGCCGCTGCTGAACTCCAAGTCGCTGCTTCCCGCGAAGCACAGGCGAAGACTGATCGCGCGAACTTGGTGTGACACGGTGAGTAGGGAAGCCCATTTGCCCAACTGGCCAACGATCTCAGGTGCGCCTTGCTTGACATGGCGGACGCGGCCTCTGGACTTCTTCTGAACGGGTAGTGGCGGAGAGCGATGCATGCAGAACATGATGATTCGCTCTTTGACCTCAGTGGGCAGTGAGGTCCAATTGAAGGTATCGCCGTTGGCATGCCACCACTGGTACATGATTTCGTCCGGCACTGGCCCATCAAGCGGAGGAAACTCAGCTTCGAAGAAACGCATAAGCGGTACGAACTTGTTCCTGGACCATACCTGCACCGCTCCCTTGATGATCTTTCCCTTTTCGCGTCCACGCTTTGCGGTCTTCGGGCGACAGACGGCGAAGATGGGGTCGGTGCCGAAGTTGTAGAAGCCCACGCAGAGTTGGAAGTCTCCATCGATATTGGCGAATCGATCTGGGTTTGAGGTGTGAGTCGCCTGGCATACGTCGATGGGGACGTTGAAGTGTGCGGGGGACTGGAGGCGGTACTTCCACGCAGCTTCGCGGATGTTCTCGATGAATGGATGTTGGAGGAGGGGAGGGTCTTGCCAAGCGCTGGGCGAGAAGGTGATGCTGAAACTCATTTTGATGTGAACACGAGGCATCAGCGATTGGTGGTTGAGTGGGTGGAGTGGAAGTTGGTCGCAATGTGAGACGTGAGGTAGAAGATTAAATGTAGAAGGCTGAAGGTAGAGGGTTGAAGGTAGTAGGTTAAAGGTAGAAGGTTGAAGGTTGGAGGTAGAAGGATGGCAGCTGCTCCGACTCTGAGATCTTATATCTACCAGAGGCTCGGCGGTGTGGGTACGGGCGGGTTGTTTGTGGGAATAAGCATTGAGGTTGATTCAAAAGTAAGAGAAGTTCATGGGAACAACGCTAGGCACCAGGCATCTACTCGCGCCGCACAATAGGTATGAAGTGAGAGGGAAAAGATTGCTATTGTCTCAATGAGCCAGTAAATATTAGTGGCATACGACCGACTGTTTCGAATATGTATTGTGCTGAGACGAGTGCAAATAGTTCAATAGGCGCATACGTTGCGTGGCTTTTACTTTTCTATTGTGTGTTGGTGTAAAGTAGCCACCTAGGTACACGATTGCGGACTACAATAGCATTCAGGGCTCTTGTCGCGTTCATCTCTCTTTAGTGCTAGCCGCTGTAATGAACATATTCAACCCAGATTCATCCTTCATCTGATTACATCTAATATTGCGATGAGGAAGTGCCAAATTGTATGAAATGTTACTGTCACTAGAGATCTATTAATAGCCTTCATTCTCTCTCGACAACTCCCCACGACAAATACTCTTACTATAGCCCTCACTGCGCATCCCCATCGTCATCAGACGACCACTCCTACGATATGCTCGCTCACTCAGCACGGACCAACCAGTCCTTAGGTTGTACCTCCATCCAAGGTTACACATCCAAAAGTGTCTTGCGACGGGAACGTGCATCGCGAACCCAACACCGCACTGCCAGCAGCCCTGCAAACGCAATTTCCTTTTCGTTTTTCTCGTTGAACCCAAGACTCGTATTTGCGGGAACGGGAATTTCGTTTGACGCTGACGGTTGCATCCCGGCTGTCGAGATCCCGTATGACCGATGCGCTCCGCGGTTGTGGCACGTTACTTCGAGTGTGAGTTTTGGGATCGGATTGGCTGTTACGAGAGGGTGGGGCTGCGGCGGATGGAGGAGGTTAGTGAGGAGAGGTGGAGTCTGGGTTTGAGATTGGGAAGTTGAGGAGTTTGGCTGTGGTGGATTGGTGAGTGAGCGGGAAAGCATGTGAGTAGGCTTGCTGAAAGGGTATGTTGTAGGCTGTGGAGAGGATTACGTCGAGAGGGTTTTGATGGACAGGAGCGGAAGCTTCCCATTCCTACGCTAACAATTGATGTTATGCTTCGTTGAGACTATCCTCTCACGGTTGTTCGGACTGGGTTCTTGTCAGCAGCCGCAATTGATGTATGCCTGTCTCACTCACATCATGTGCCCCATAAGCCGTATGAATGCAACCGCCATGCGTCATCCGTCGTTCAATTCCACAGCACCGGGGTATATACATCCTCTTCCCTCCCGTCCCGCACCACCCTTCGCGCGCGCTTCAACAATATAGCCCATCATCTCCCACGCCCTCACCAAACGTCCTCAGCCCCCACCTCCCACTCCTCCCCATCCTTCCTAACACACTCCCCCTTCTCATCTCTACTACAACTCTTCCGCATATCCAACGCATCCTCGCCATCATTATAATAATCCTTGACAACCCGATAAACACTATACCCCATCTTGCGATACAGTTCCTTCGCAATCTCATTGCTGCGTCTGACAAACAAATCCACAAACCACGCGTTGGCCGCGTCGGACGATTGTTCGAGTGCAGACGACAGCGCGGTTGCGTAGCCGAGGCGGCGCGCGGAGGGGGCGACGGTGAGCGCGGTGATGTGGCCGTGGTAGGGGAGGTAGTTGGGGTATTGGACGCCGGTTGTGGAGGGCTTATAGGGTTTTATCGGGGGGTCGAAGGGCGAGGATTCGAGTTTGCCTAGGACTTGGGGGGTGTTAGCATCCACATTGTGTCTGCAATATGAGGCATGAAATATAAGGGCTGAATTGTCGTACTATAGCCTTCAATCTCGCCGTCCATGCCTTCTATTATCTGGCATAGCTCGGGCCATTTTGTCAGGTACTCGAGGTAGAAACCGATGTTGTATGTTTCTGTGAGGTGGTCGAGGTTGCATTGAGATACTCGAAGGAGGTCGGTTGGGCGCATTGGCCGTACTGTCGCCATGGTGGGAGATGGGGTGTGTTTTGGCACGCAGCGACACGTCGGGGGTGGTGGTGGGGTTGTTGCTGATGCGACGTGTTGGAGGGATGATGCATGGCGGCACTCCCGCGGCGAAGACTCGCTTACACTCGCTGGCCTGCTCTTGCGCAAATGCGCTCTACCACTTGCCTATCAATTTGATCTTGTTTGTGATGTATTTTAAGAATTATGGACATATGAAAATGAACGCCGCTATCGATGCTATGCTTAAGTTACGTTTACAGAATGGGTATAGAGCAGATGAACAACAGCGCAGTACAGCCCGACCACCCGGTCTATATATCCTTCGTTTTCTTTTTATATGCGACCATCTCGTTTTCAGTCTCAACAATCTTCATGACGTATTTCTCTCAGTATATTCTTGTTGCGCCATCTCTTATCTCCATGCGAACCGGTGTTGCCGTTCCTAACGCTGCCTCTTCCTCTTCCTGAAAGGGAATCAGCAGTGCTAGATGCGGAAAGAATCAACACTAGCCTGTGCCCCGTTGACATAGTCTTTGACCGACGACGCGCCTGATCGGATTCCACGCTGATCATAAGTCATTGGGCTTTGCGCTCGCGTCGGAGTCGAGGGGTTGCGCAAATTGTCGTAATGACGGGATACGCCATTGCCGTTCGCATAAGGAGACGCTCCGCGTGAGGGGGTACGCTGGCTACTGGTATCGTTGCCATACTCATCGAATCGAGGAGTCTGGTAGGGTCGCCTTTCTCCCGTTAAGCTGTTGCCGCGGATGTCGTTGGGGATGGGCGGTGCTTGGCGGAATCTGCGATGCGGTGCAGAGTGCTCCTTCTCGTCAACGAGCACCACCATCCAGACGCCCACAGATCCATTCTGTCCGAGCAGAGGAGTGCAGTGTATCCACCTGGGTCGGCCCTCTTCGTAAGATTCTTCGAGGTCTGATACGGCGTGCGGCAGCCAGCGAATCTTCGCTGTGACACCACGCGACCCATCTGCAAGCGCGTCGCTAAGGGAGTCTCGGACCCGATTACTTCCGCCGATGCGATCGAGGAAACGCGACTGGAGAATGCCGGGGACACGGAGAGATGGGGATGTGAAGAGGATGCGCAGGGAAGGCGCCGGACGCACAACAAGGTACTAATTATGTCAGTTTCCTCACATCGTTAGATAGAAACGGCATCCACTTACGTGTTTGTATGGGCCAGACAGCCTGCCGTCTGCCTTGTTGATCGCTGGCTTCTCCGCCCTGTCAACGTCAAAGGTAGACTGGTCCTGGATCAGCAGTCTGGGTTTGTGCTGCATGCTCGCATCGTCCTGCTCCTCCAGATGTTCTCTATGCATGTTGCCGCCGTACTTGCGCACGGTGTCCAGCTCGGTGTTATTGAACATCTCACTGAGCGCCTGAAATTCATCTTTCTGAGGCTCCTTCTCTTTCTGGCCCTCCTCTTCATCGAGCATGCGCCGGAAAGCCTCAAGATCGGTGCTGTCCTTTACGAGACCAGAAATGTCGATTTGCGCGCCAATAAAGTATCGTAGAGTTCCGCGCGAATCAAGAAGAGGCGCAATCATCAAAAGGTTCATAAATGGCGATCCATCACGGCGACTGTGTTGAAGTCAACGAATGCTCACCAATGAAATCGCAAGAGTGACCTCGACACTTACTAGTTCAGGAACACCTCGCTATGGTCTTTGCCTTCGCGGGCCGCTGTGCCAAAGCGCTCAACGCTGGCCCGATTCGTCTTCGGGCCTTGGAGAAAGCGACAGTTGCGACCGATGGCATACCCAACGCCGTACTGAGTCGTGCGGTGAAATTCTAGTTTCACGTTAACCAACGGTCAGTTTCAAGGCGCAACGGTAAACTAACCTTCCGACGCAAAGATGATCGGGTTATCAGTCCTAGATGGGTCTGTCAGGCAGAAGACTTCGGCCAGACCCTCGCTAGCCTCACGAAGCATCGGAGGTAAATTTCCTGTTACGCGTTTCGCAATGCTCACGCTAACCACTTGAATGAAGACGTGGGTGATGAAAGCCGGAAGATCGTCACGGACCAGGACGTCAAAGGCCCGATTGGCCTTTTCCTCCAACACTGCGTTCATGGTCGTCCGCGCTGGAGTCTCGGTGAAGTCCAAGCCCTGAATGGGTTCCAGGGCTTCTGCGACGGCGTTGGCATAGCTGATGGCTCGTAGCGCTTTCAGTGCGTCGAGGTAGTAGATTAGAGTAGGAAGCGAGTTGGGCCGGGCGATGCTCAGGAATGACGTAAATCGGAGTAGCGATGCAGTATCGGCGAAGATGGCCTTCAGGTGGTCTCTGGAGAAGAGTTGCTCGGACCTGGTCTCGAGAGAATATTGTGATCGTGAGTTCTCGATAGGTCCGCAGACAAGATCGAATGACTGGGGGTCATCTTCCAGTAATGGCGATAGCCGGTCTCCGTCCTCGATGATATCTGCTTTTTGCTGGAGAGGACCCAGTTGTCGCGTTGCGAAAGACGGGGCGGTGGACTCATATGATATGACTGAGTCGGCTGAGCTTCGTATCGTGGTCGGCTGTTCGTTCATGGGGATTCGTGAGGACAGTATGTTTTGTGGCACGGCACTAGATGTGCGTGACATACTTCGGGTACGCGTCTGTTGCATGTCTGGTGTTACACGTCCGTTGTTAGGCGAAGATGGCTCTGCACTCAGTCGCCGTTGCAATGATATGCGCTTCTTGTTGGCCTGAGGGGTGCTGGAACTATTTGGGGATGAGTAAAAGGAACGAACGAACGAAGGGGGAGAAGAGGGGAGTACCTGGTGCGGGAAGGGATATGGATATCCTTTCTTGTAAAGTCTATCTGTGGAGCGGGAGCAGTCTCGTCATCCGAAAGCCAACTTTCTCTTCGTTCGGGATCAGCCGGTCTAGTGACGGGTGAAAGAGGGGCACTCCTTGCATTTGAATCAGAAGCATCTTGCATGGTTGCAAAGTCCAGGACCAGTGGTTCATTAAACGCACCGCCACTGCCGTTGGTGACATTGGGGTGGGCATCCGTATCGGGTGCCATGACGCTATCGACATACGCTGGGGCCAACTCGGTTGAGCTCCCCATTTTGGCTGAATTGATAGTGGTATTAGACGTCCTGGCAGGATCAGTAGGCCGTTTAGAAGAGAACACTCCGTGAGCTGATCGCATCTTGTTCTTAAACAGGGCCATTGTATTCGTGGAACGCTACCACGTTGCGGCCGTCAAAAAAGCAAATGGGACAAGTGGGAAAGTTTGATAACTGGGGGCGGCACAGCGTGTTGGGGAAGGGGAGCTGTAGATCGATGACGAAGAGAGAATTTCTGTAGGGTAAACATACCGGAGAAGCCAAAAACCGCTGACACGTTATAGGTCCCTTGTCGCTGGATAGTTAGGTACTAGTCGGTCGCCTGGCGTGCCTGGCTGGTGGTGCTACGACGTCGACTCGCCGGCGTCCCCTTTGGGCACAACAAAGATCGCTTTAGTCTGGTAGGCTAATGTTCCGGCCGCAAGGATGCCGATTGCGCCGATAGTGTGGGCTAATGCAAGGCACAATGAGATGTCGGCGATCGTGAGATTTGCCTCCCGCGGCAGATGATCGAAGGATTGAGGCTTGACGAGCTCGAATAGGGATGCTTCCTAAGACAGGGGTTCCGGGTGCTATCGATAGTATGCCGGCTATCGGCGCTGTAAGCTGAGATCTACGATGGAATACTTCACGATGCTGACAGGTCCAACAATTCGATGTTGTCGCAGTCGAAACAAAGCTGGGGGTTGGGCGTCGCATAACCAACCCCCCGCATCAGCCACGAGTACATTTTTGTGCACCTTGCGGCATACCTTACATCAACGCCTGATCCCTGTGCAAATCTGCAGACCGCCATGGCTAAAGAGAAACTGCAATCGTGATGTGTTCCTGTGTGTGGTCGGTCTTCGCATCCGACACGTCGAATTGTCATAATCCTGGACACGTCCGTTGGAGGAACACCAGGGTTTGGATCTAGCTGTCTGCAGCCGTGATCTGTGCAGACAAAGGTTTGCAGCCGCCCGTGCTTCGTATACAACAACCTCGGGGTAGATAACCAGCCTAAGGGATGCTCTTCCGACTGCCCTGGTCTCCCTCTTCAGCTGTCAGTTGTCAACTTGACGCGCCTCCCGCAAACTTTGCGCTAGAGAGGACGGGACTGAATCCCCGGCTTACGACTATCTCCTAGACGAGGCCTCTCTCCAAATGCTCATAGCCGAACATGGACTCCACTTGAGTGGTGTGGTGTCGCGTTCGGATTGTGGAGTTTTCTGACTCGACGTGGCAGATGCTTGCTGTGCATTACTCGCAGTTGCAGATCTCCGTTTAAGGAAGTCAGTCGCATTCAGTGGGTTTCTTGGAACAAGGGTGCGAAACTCCACTCCAGCAAAGGTTGCTCTGGTGTTGAACACCACGGCGATTCAGCGGCGTAATAACCTTCTCTGTTATCCGCTACTGCAACCGAGCCGACAACGTTACAGCATGACGTGTATGGCAGTGGACCCACGGTAGCCATGGGTGGCCTCGACTCGACGTGTCGATGCAGGGTGTTAATGCCCGAAGGAGTCGGTTGCTTTTGGGATATTGTCCGAACAGCTTTTTGTTCCTTTTTGCGGGCAGTGGAGACGTGGTGCGGTGTCCAGACGGCACGTGTCGTGGGGCGACGCTGTCGCATGCAATCTGAAATGTGGGCTGGAGCTGTGCAGACACCTTCGCGCGGGCAAGCGTCATGCGCTCATGGTCGACAGTACATGCTAATGTTCACTAGATTCGCAATGAACCTTGGAAGCCGATGGTTTCTCCTGCACCACGTGAGCAGCCAATCAACGGCCAACCCCGCCGAAATGCAGGCCAACGTAGAGTTGCGCCTAGATCCGAAATCTAGATGCCCGCGCGTTTAGCTTTGTCGCGAAGAGAATCGATGAATTCCCCTGAATCTTGGGAAACTTGGGAAACCTTCGACAGCTCGGGTATACGGGGTGACGGGCTACCAACATTCGGCTGTGTCCTAGTCAGGTGTTGCGATTCCGTCATCTTAGTTCAGATCCCTAGATAGATGTCGGTAGCAGCCGATAAACCTTAGATCAAACCTTCTGTCCTCAACCCCAGGCCGCCACGTGCATTGGTCACTCTGTCACTCTGCCATTCCTACCAATCGTGACATTGATTCCTCGTCTTGTCAGTCACAGCGTCATTGTACGTTTGCGGTAATATAAGAGAAGTTTCCCACACCTGGGCATCGTTGCGGCGTACCATCTACGCCTCTTTGCTACATGTCCGATCCCGATTAGCGATCTTCATTTGGATCAGCCACACGGTTCTAGCTTTGATTGTCATCTGTCACTGCCAGGCAACGTTCACAGCATAGCCCAATGTTCCTCGGTTTCTTGTTCCCATGCATCCCGGTGAAGTGTCCGTCAACTTCAATTGGCGAACAAACCACCACTTCGGTCCTGCTATAAAGACAATATATTGCAAGACCCGAATATATTGTTAGGTTTATGTCGTTGTACATAAAACAATCTTGAGACCAAATATTAACTGGCGGTAGATTTGTGACTCTTTGCACTGATCTCCCACTTCATTTGTCGATGATACGTGTGACAACTTCGCGGTCTCGTGAAACATTATCTCTCCAGGCGCGCGCACATCCTGAAGGTCAAATGAAGGTGGAGCAAGCTGCAAGCTGCAAGCTTTGAGTGAACAGTACGTCGGCGAAGGCAAGAACACGGATTCGGCGACTTTGCGGAGGGCCAAGGTGACTGTGGCGGGTTGAGGCACCGCTCGATAGCACAGGAGATTTGCAAAAGGTCTTTCCATGTGAATCACATCCTCCTCTTTCCTCGGGCACGTCAATAACTCTCTAGTTATGAAATCAAGATACATGCAAGATTTGATAACCTACCCCAATTACCTCTGAAGCATCGCCGTCCATGGAAGCTAAATGTTTAATGTTTTCCCTGAAACAAGATGCTCAGATCACTGCCCTGACGTGGTTCACTCGCTGGTTCCCCTGCCATGCCGTTCGATCGCAAGGGATACCCTGACACGCCTGGTTCCTAGTCTGACGGCCCCGTTTGCATCCGAGCAGCGTTCTATCGTGCTTGGCGGACATAGTACGTAAAATGGACATGATGGTTCCCTGTTGGCGCGACAGTTTCCCGTTATGGTGCTGGAAAAAGCGTCATCGTATTTGGATGTGATGACGTCCACAGCGACGGTCAATAGTTCCTGGAAATTTTGGTCCCAAGACCCCGTACTCGGGGTATGAGAGATTGAGATAGACATGGTGGCCTACTGGATACCGTACCCGAACCGAAACCATCGTGCCATTCAAGTGTCGGACATTTAACAGGCACGGTATCATCCGTGACTTTATGGAAACGAGAAAGATTGCTAATCTTGAACGTGGTGCACTCCTGGTGCTTCTTGCATTCTGTCAGGGTGAGTATGACCCAGTACGCCGAAGAAGAGGTGAGAGTGAAGTATAATTCTAGCAAGTCTATCTATCGTTGGATCTATAGTCATTCGTACAGGGTATCATATGATGGCTGAATATGGTACATTGATGTAGCAATGTGCGTGCTCATCGTATGAGACTCGTTTCTTCGGTTACTGAGGTATTATGCTATTCGTTCGCGTTGCGATCACAGGCGGTGTCGTTTCGTAGTCGGGCTCATGAGAGTAAAGGACTGGTGCCCAAGAGAATTCATAGTCATTCACCGTGGCGTCCGATGTGATCGCATCGTCTGTCTCGTAGGAAGCTGAATACGGGATCTTAAGCTCTGAAGCGCTTCGGTCGGTGACGAATTGTCTAGATTGTGACCGTCTGCGGCGCCCTCGTCATTTTGCACATCCGATAAGGCATCTTGTTCGAGTGGAACTTCAGTAGAATATCGTGTGTCGTCGTAGTCTTGCGCTTCGTCATCGTACTGGCGAGCTGGGCGTCTACGTGGAGAACGTGGAGGACGTGCTGAAGCCTCCGCCAGCTTCTGTTCGAGAAGCCATGCCTTGCGCTTGTATCTTAGAAGCTCTTCCTCCTGTTCGAGTGCCTTTCTCCTTGCTTCGATCTCTGCGGCTGTGGAATCCGACTCCGTGTAAGTGCGTGATTCGGTCGATTCGCGTGTTCGATGCGTGTTTGTGTAGTTGTCGTCGCGGGGCTGAGATCGAGGATGGCGTTCTCGACGGGGCGGAGAGTTCTGGATGCGCATCTTCTGTCGTAGGAGCTGCTGTTGTAGATTGATGAGCTCGCGCTCCCTTAAGGCCAAATGGGCTTCTCGAAGCTCTAGATCGCGGTCTCGAGGCGGTGTTCGAGGGAAAGGCTTGCGCCTGTCTGAGCTCGTAGATAGAGGTCGGTCTCTCAAAGACCTCACATCCAGCCCATCAAGCAGCTTTGCGGGTGCCTTTGGAGGCAAGCCGACGCTTTCGCGAAGCCTAGCGGCCTCGTGATTTCGCGCCCGCCTCTTTGCGGTCAATTGAGGCTTCAGCATCTCCGGCTTGTTGGACAAGCGCAGACCATTCCCCAGGCGGACGTTTGGCTGTAGAACGCCATCGACCAATGTACCGCGGAACGTCTCCAGAGCCTCACTGTTCCGTAATCTGTGTTGAAATTTCAATTGGGGGGCGTCGTTGAAGCGTGCGGATATCGGGCGACTTTCGGTGGGGTCGAGGGTCAGTTCGACGTTTTCGAAGGGCGGGTCGGCGACAGACACTCTCTGCCCATCTTGGGCGTTACGAGCTAGAATGCGGAATGTGTTCTCGCGTAACTGTCTTGTGTCCTTACTGGTGTGGTTGTTAGCACATACATCCAGACTGCAAGCCGTGGTACTCACTTGATAATGATGAAGCGCTTCATGTGCGGATTCTCTCGCCGTATCTCCTGCATCTTCGGCGTCGGCCCACTTATGAACTGCGCAGCTATCTTCATGCGCGCTTCGAAGGTATCGTGAGGGAACCACGCAAAGGGAAGTATGAAAACAGACCCATCCTCAAAGTATGCCCATCCAGTCGGGAACTTAGACTTGCTGCGGGCGTAGAGGCTGCCCAGATTTACAGAATTATACTGCGGCCTAGTCAACCCAAACGAAGGCACAGCGCCCGGGGGCGGGATGCTGTATAAACTCCCCAGGTTACCGTATGCGCGGCGAAAGGCCATAGTCCGCCGATGTGGGTGATATACCCCAAGCCCTACCTTGTGTTCTACACTATGTTTCGCGAGTGGCACGCACTGTCTCTGCGGCGGTAACGAGTCGTGATACGTGAGCGTGTGCAGGCGACACAGCCATGACCAGATCTAAGACTCCGCGGGCAAGGCTAAGGCTATCGGAGAGCGAGGAAGCGCATAATAGGCGATGGCGTACGCACGGAGGAATATGCGGCTAGACAGGACAATCAGCCTCGTGTATAAAGTGGCATGGTAGACACGTCAGCGACATACCTCGTGGTGGCTGCAACGGTGGTGTGGTGGCTGCGAAGGATTCACGATGCAGCACTCAAATTGCTGCGCACGAGCCGTTTGAGTCGGGTGTACCGTTCCGCCACCCCTTCGTTGATCGGCATGTATCTTAATTGCACCTCACATCCTATTCGGACCTCCTTCACTCCTCTCTTCTCTTTACAACTAATCGTGTCGAAGAATTCTTACGTTTCCTAGACTTCATGTTCAAAGTCATTTGTTCATACTATGTATGTACTACAAGATCGTCACTATAAACGCAGCATCGAACAGCCCATAATGCGGGTCTACGAAGAATAGTCCACCCTCCCACATCCATCTGATTAATTGTGACGGCGCCGTCAGACTGAAACGTTGCCGCCGCCTAGAATCCAACCCAACTACTGTGCAGTTGCTGCACATCTACGACAGCCTGCCGCCATCCAACGTCAACCCCGTCAACGCCAAATCATTTTACCGCTCCGAGTCTCCTCCAAGATCAACCTTGCGCAATCAGTAATGATCGGCATTATTCGTAGACGACCGCTGTCCCGACTCCCGACTCTCCGAGCGCTGTCGGGCGAAACAGTTGGCGCATCCGCAGAAAGAGCAATGCCAGAGAATGCAGATTGATCGAGTCCGTTTGTCAGACTCGCGTCTGGTGAACCACGACTCAACATGCCTACATGAGAATGCGGATCGGCGTTTCCTTCCATACGCCATCTAATATGCGCCCGCGTTCATGCAGCGTTCTGCTTTTCAACTATGCTATCTATCGCCATCGACCGAGTGGAAGGTGTAGTTGGCGTCGGTGGTGCCTTTACTTCCGCCTTGTTTGGAGTAATCTGCGCCTGCAGCTGTGGCTGTATCTGCGGCGGCATAGTCTGAGTCGGCGATAAGGATGTAGATGCTGCGTCCTCCTCGGTAGGTTCGTTGTCGTCTCCAAGTATCTCGTCCACTTCCCGCAGCCAGTTGGCTTTGAGGACCTCCATTGGGGGATCCAAGTCGCCAGGCTTCCCGCCGCGTCGAGCCTCCGCTGCAGTCATCTTCCTTTCACCGCGTTTGTGGGGGTGAAAGTGCATGCGTCGAAGGTGACTTGCGGCGTTGTAGCATTCGTTGTACTTCTTTCCGGTCTGGCACGCCTTACAGTTGGCCAGGAACGACTTGTCGGGCGAAGTGTCGATGGTCACCCAGACTTTACGTGCCTTTTTGTGGACACGGTTGGTATGACGTCGGAGCTCATGCTCACTGCGGAAGCCATCGGGATAGTCCCCGCAGAGCGGACACTTTAGTCGCAATACTCTGCGAGATGGAGGCTTCGAATTTGCTTCAAAGGTGGGCGAAGTAGCAGGCGTCGTCTGAATGGTAGGTGCTGTCACAATGGTCTCCCTTGGTGCTGGAGCGGGCTCTATTGGTTCGCTAGCCTTGGTATCCGTGACGGTAGGGGTAGTGGTCGCCGCATCTTCTTTCATCCTGGCTCTGGTTCTTGTAGGAGGCATCAACTTGAGGGCGCCAGATGAAGTCCAGGTAGGTTCCGACCAGGCTGAAATCCAGTAGTGCTGTGCAAGTCCGTCACACGGTCCGATACAGCTGAGTGTTGGGGAGGCTCGCTTGGTGGGGCGCGTCCTGTCGCTCTAACGGCAGCTAAAACCGACAGGTTCAGAGAATGGCAGGTGTAGTCCTGGGGTACTAGGGACGTGTGATGTGTTTCCAAGTCGATCTAGAAAGGGCGGGGGGCCAGGCAGCAAGATATCCCGATTTTCGCTGGGCCCAGTGGAGTGCGCACGAGGCTGGAATGGCGCAGTCAGCCTCGTTTCCCAAGGTGAGTGGACGAGCCTTGAGCTGCAAGCCACGCTACAAACGGCAAGCTGGCGAGCTGAGTGCCTATTGGGTCTCCTGCCTCAGGCTGAACGACGTGTGCTGAGGCCATGGCGAATCAGGTGACGCAGCCTGTTGAGCTGGGCCGGTTTCTGGGCCAGCTGGGCCAGATAATCAAAAGGAACGAAGGATTGCCGTCCAAACCCTGCTCGGATCATTCCGTCTCGCAACGAACTGCACGCCCAAGAAAGCGGAGGGTTGCGGGCTGGCTAGGGCGAGCGAGCATTGTGGTTCATGGCTTGGTCATGCTTTTCCTAATTCGATGTTCCGGCTCGCGACCGACTCTCGCAGCCCGGGAGCAACCTGGACATTGACAATTCACATCGCATCATCACCCGACATCACGACACCCTCTAGATGCTTCTGGCAAGGCAGCATCAGCATTCGCTGCACTTGTCTCTCGTTATTTCCTTGTTCAGCCTTGCTCCGGGCCTGTACCGGAAGACGCCTTTGGGCTGGCCCAAGCGGAGCCGAGGCTTTGGACGAATCAGCGAGCGTGGGAATTTGCTTGCTTTACGAAGAGTCGCCGATCCAAGGAGCCAATTGGTGTCTCAGCAAGCCTCGAGTCCAGCTGCAGAGGCATGGCTTGCACCTAGGAAGCACGACGTCTCCGTCATTCGCGATCGGCTGCAGCCTTCTTCAGCCTGGCCGGCGTTGATCTTGCGCTCTCCATCTTGCGAGTCTGTCGGGTGGGGCGCAATCAGACTGTACGAAGACACGGAGTTTGGCCCTGATCCTTCGCCTTGCTGAAGTCAGACTAGGCCACCTCTCCGATATGCGGTATATGGGCACTAGATGTAAGATCGGTCGACAGATGGCCCGAGGCTGACGTCCAGCGGCCACGAAACCTTATCCACCGATTAGCATCAAAAGACCCTACCGCGGGCGTGGTACCCCTCTTGCCCTATTCGAGCAGTGGTCGCAAAACACCATGCATCCTGTGTTGCATGAATACCACATTCGATCTGCCTGACTTGAGGCATACCATCGCGATGATGCAGCTCTGACACCGCTCCAATGCTACCCTGATAGGCTCCAGCGCGCAACATGTCAGCCTTCCCGCCCAGCGCTGAAGCACGCGCCCTGCGGAGGGAAAGGGTGTGAGTAACGCTTATCGATTCGTAAGCCTCCTAGCCTTCATAGGGCTGGGCCGACGTTTCATGTCTCGAGATGCTCGTCATTTTTGCGAAGTACAGGAAAAACCACGTTTGCGAATCGATGAGCCATACATGCCCTGCCGATGGCCTTGTTGAGGAGACTGCTTCCAAGTTCACAGGTTCAACCACACAGCTCGCATGTTTTACCCTTACACTCATCATGCGCAGACGTGCTAGCCCGTCAGCTTCGGCTCTGCCCCTCTGTCCGGGTCAACTATGCTTTTTCCTCAGCCTCACGCTGCAGATGCGAGTGCAATGCCTCTAATACGACGGATGCGGACTGTACTCATCTCGGTCCATCGTTTGGAAGCAGTGCAACCGACTGTCAGTTATTCGGAGCAGAGCTGAACATGTAGTCAACCTCTTGAGATGGTTTCAGCTTACTCGAGCAATACGCGAACATGCTCGCATTGGACTCCAACAATGTATGCAGACGTCCACCAAAAACATATCTACGGATACATGACCATAGTCTGCAAAGCTGGCAACTTGCTTCCTTTGGAGCAGGCTCGCCGTCGATCTGTAGCATATCTCGGGTACATGCCGTGGCCGAGCGGTAATAACTCAGGAGGAGAGCCTATTAGCAGATTATTATTTGTGCTCTCCGCACAGAGCAGTGTGGTGTTCGGGGAAGGTACCCGCTGCCTATCGGTTCGCTATGGGTGAAGAGGTCCACCTTGGAGCCTACATTGACGCTAGATATCCTAATTTGCTTGTTGTACCCTGGTGTAGGCTGCAGGTCCGCTCAGTTTCTTCTTTGTATGAGGTGGACGGCTATGTCTGATCTTCTTTGCACATGCGAACTACCCGACGAACACATTAGCCTACCCTAGATTCTGCCGCTGATACTAAGACGGGAAAGACAAGTCGCTACCACAGTGCCGGTATTGCTGGACGCCTGAAGTTGTTCCATGTGATCAAGTGGACTAGAACGTCTGGCAAGGCCAGTCTATGTATCATATGGCTTGCATGCTGAGGAACGTGTTATTGAAGACCACCTTGGCATTTGGTGTTCGTGGCTGGCTTTTCTGACCATCCCCGGTAGTACGAACATTAACATTCCATACTCGTCAAGCAGCTCAAAACGACAGCCCGCATACGAAGTTTGATGTGTCTTATGAGAAATTCGGATGGCCTGGTGAGTGTGAAGACAGAATGGCATGTGAAGGAGCTGTTGCACACGGCCCACTCTTGACGTTTGGATGAGAAACAGGGGTGCAGACGATCATGCTTCTCCTACCGAGGCCATCGTCCAGACAGCATCGAGCCGCCCACCCCACATATGATTTCATACGCTGCTACGTAGGCCCTACACGTGAGCATCTCGTCGCAACATCGCCTGGTCGCGATACCCCGGACACGGCCGCACCTCTGCTCGCGCAGCCGTCGGCATCCGCCATGCGCCCCCCTGGCCCTTCGAGGTGACATAGGCGCCATCACCAGCAATGTCAGCAAGCTCCAGCCATGGCCGGCCGTCGGGAGACTCGGACCGCTGGACGACTTCCTCGCACACATACATCGCCAGCAACTCGGGCGCCTACACCGACCACGGCGAAGGCAGCTCTTCCCCGCGGCGGAGCCAAGATTTCAGACCCAGCACAGGCGCAACCAACGACGCAGGGAGCTCAGCATCGGGCAGCCTGCTGGCTAGGGACTCGGTGCACGAGGAAGACTTTGCGCGCCGGAAGCAGCGCGTTCGCAGATCTGGCGGCTTCCTGCTAGATTCAAATTTCCCCAGCGGGCCACGGCAGCGACATGGCAACCACGAGGCTCACCGGGACGAGGCAAAGGGCAAGCGCACCTCGCGACACCATGGCACACACGAGAAGGATGCAGCCAGCTCGCCTCTGTCGCGAGAGGTACAGCGAGATGGCCCAGGCCCTGCCCCCGGCGCAGCATCCCGCATCAACTTCACCGACTCCCAGGACCGACACGACGAGCGCATACGCATTGGCAAGACTAGGGGGAGCGCATACAACATGCAGCCTCCAGCCCGTGATCGAGACCCCTCGCCCAACACCGCGCAGCCACGGCAGGCCATTGACCCGAACCAGCTGGTACACATGGCGCTGAACCTGAGCGAGAGTCGAAGGCGACACATCAGCAGTGGTCAGCTCCTGGCATCCCAGTCACGAGTCCCCTCTGCTTCTCAGCGAGAGGGCAGCTTCTCCAACTATGGCGCTGGCGGCAGTCTCAAGCAGTATCTCAACGAGCAACGGCGCACTTCACGCAACATATCCCCAATGGGCGGCCAGAGCTCTCCGACCCGCCACATGTCCAGCTCCATGCAGAGAAGCGCATCCATCGCATTTCCAGGCTCGCAGAACATCAACCCGTCCCCTGCCACGATTGCTCGAGTCGAGAAAGCGCGCGCGTACATCGAGCTTCGCATGGAGTATCTGCGGCTTCTGGAATTCCTACCGCCTCTGAAGCCCGATGCTAACAACCCAGGCAACTTTGTCTTTTCCTCAAGCAGCGTCCCAGGCAGTCCCCAGGCACAGCTCACTCGCGTGCCGTCTCACGCCGGCAAACAGCACGAACTCGGCCGACCGTACAACCCTCTCCAATACATACGAAACCGCCGGAGCAGGGCTCGGGAGCGAGTGACGCTCGACCACTCTTCGGAAGAATTCGACGACGTTGAGCAGGTACGCGAGTGGGTGGACCGCGTTGAGCAGCATGCGAAGCGAGCCGGCTACCGTCGAGACGATGCAGTACAGCTGCCCAAGATACACCACGATCACGAAGTCCCACCTGCCCCGAGCAAGCCTGCGAGACCTCACAAAGGCTGGATCTTCAGCCCACAAGAGTTGCTTGCGGACGCGCACTGGCTGGAACAAGGCGAAAACAAGCTGCTTGTGGAGAATCGCTACGGCCGGAAGGTATATCCGCCTCCCAAGGAGGTGCAGCCAAAAGACTTCCTATCACCGCGCGCAAGCAAAGACTACCCTGACAACCGGAGGAAGAGTTGGATTGATGGCCTGCCCAGCATCGCAGTCGATCACACGACAGGTGACGAGAGCGACAAAGGCAGCGAACGTGGGCGCAAGCGAAGGTTGCTTCCAGCGCTGCGAACTGATAGCCCCAGAGGCGGCAAGCATTCTAGACGGGGCTCACGGCTGCGCAGCCATGACGATAGCGATAGCTCAGAGTCAGAATCAGATACTCGCAAACGAAAGACTCGTATAGTCACCGACCCAGATCACAACACCGGTCCTTTGGCTTTGCTTCTTGAGCAACAAGCTCGAGAGTCACAACCCAAGTCAACCCCTGACTTCACACCAGATACGCCGAACAAATGGGGGCGAAATGAAGAGGTCACATCAGACAGCAGGCCATCTAGAGACTCGCTGGAAGTACCCCGCCCCACGAACGGCTTCGCATACATGAAGGAGCGGCGCAACTTCAAGATGCCACCTAAGGCTCGTACAGCTCTTTCTCTTTCCATTGACGATAATGAACCTCGTTCGTCTTTCGACGACCAAGACAGCTCAGCTCCAAACACTCCACACGCCAAACGTTTCCCGCATATTGGAGGCGATCTCTCATCACCTCCAAGTCGATCAAACTCACAGACGAGGAAAGCGAAACGGGGCAAGTTCAACAGCATTTTCCATTCGCATGACCATAGTGATGATCACAAACACGAATTCCGCCCAGAATCTGCTGGAACAGACAGGAAGGCCAGATCTCGGCAGACCAGCGAGGAAACTCCAGACGACAAAGAGGACAAACACATCGGAACAGCCATCCTAGCAGCTCCTGGTGCTGTGATGAATCTACTCGGTCACCGCAAGAATGATAGTGTCAGTAGCTTGCCTAGTCCGGATAAGCTACGTCGCAGGGACACCCAGGAACCACATTCAGCTGTCACAAGATTCTTCAAGGGCGTGAAGAATGAGGGCACCAAAGTCGGTGATATCATCTTCAGAAGAGACCGGGCCGACGACTCGGATGCGGACACCGTGTCTGATCGCAACTCTGTCGATTTCGACGATTATGGCACTGTCAAAGCCAAGCACAACAAACGGCCACCGATGAGTCGGACCGTCACGGCAGGGACAGATGGTAGTGTTACCAACAACGACCGCAACCATCTTGATCTACCTTCGTTTCGGCCAATTCACACAATCCCCGATGAGGAATCGGATTTTGAGCATCACATCTCACGTCAGGCGCGAGAGCAGAAGAACAGTCGCTCTCCTAGAATTGATCGGCTTTTACCACCACGTATGGACCTTGGTACTATATCCGGGAACTCTTCCGCAGGAGATCTTACTCTTACCCAGAGCCATAGTCAGGAGCGCATCAATGAAGTCCTCGCTCGGCCTGGCGGTGACATGGTGGGCCTCCCTCCCACTGGACTCCGAAACGCACAGGGCTCGCATAGGCAGCGCAGTGCCTCTCGGCCCGGGCTTAACGGGAGACATTGGAGCATTGCCGACGGCGATGATAATGCTGCTGATCGTAACAAAAACGCGAATGGCGTTACCCAAGCGGACATCGCTCGAGTGCGCGCTCTATTCCTCTGCTCAGGCGTCAAAGCAAGGGAAATCGACCGGCGCGCGCACAGTATAAGAGATCCGCCTCCCGACTTCCTGAGTCGCGCTGCCGCTACATCAAAAATGCGACTCTACCCCGTTCCGCGCAAGGAAGAGCACGTTCTTGCTGCACGCATGTTGGTCAAAGATCTGGAGTCATCCACAAAGGCACTACAGTCCTCACTTGAGTGTTTCCGCGATAAAGCCATTCAGCAACTCACCAACCAGATCTCGGCTTTGCAATCTACGGTGGACTCGGACCTCATGCCGCGTATCCTAGAAAGCGGGGACCAAGCTGTGCGCATCACAAGTGAGGTTTCTGGACAAGGCCCCCTGCAGGTCAAGCAGATCACAGACGAGATTGACCGCATGATTCGCACGCGCAAACGCAGGATGCGCTGGATCCGAGGATTTGGGTGGATGCTCGTTGAATGGGCTCTCGTCGCGCTCATGTGGTGTCTTTGGCTCATCGTTGTGCTCGTCGGATCTGTCAAGAGAGTATTTGGTGTGGGAATTGGAGTGATCAGGTGGCTGCTGTGGCTCTAGGTGTGCCCAGTAGTGTTCAGTTTATTTTCTTGCATACGACGGCGTTAGATATTTTATCGGGATCTTTCCTTTGTGGGCGTTTTGGATAGTGGGTAACAGGCTTGCATACTGCGATACCACGCGTTATAGACTGTTGTACGAATATTGGATGGGGCTTTCTTGGCTACGTAGGCATACATATAAAATTGTAATAATGTCGACTGGGTTCATCATGCGCGCATTAATTGTACTGGACGCCTTAATATATCTAGTGCATGATTGGACAGACCCGGGTCTGTAATGTTGGTTTGCTGTCTTAAAGTGAGTCGCACGTGACCTGCATGAATCCGCGCCACTGACGCGTCTACGTCATCGGCGTCCTTGCTTGACAGGCTTCACCCATCGCTCTCCGCAACACTAGTCAACACAGGCAGAAGCGCGCAAAGCCTCCGTCACAACCTCTTCCGCTTTGCCAATCTGCAATTTCTCGTCCTGCATCGGCTATGAGGCATTGCTAATCAGTTCTTGCCCCACAACAGACACCCGGCATGGATCTTCAGACGGTGTTCGTCGCCAAAGACCATGGCACCAGCCATGTCCAGTCGGTACGTACCTGCGTCCACACCCCGACTTTACTCAAAACGCGTGTACTAACATCCCCTGTCACGAAGTCTAGCGGCCCTTCTTCGTTCGCGTCACTCGCTGCAGCTTTCGTGCCCACGGCCGTGATTGCGACTTTGTACATGGTCGCGTTTGTCCTCATCTGGCGCCGCTTCCCCAAGATCTACTCACCACGGACGTTTATTGGCACCGTACCAGAGAAGGATCGCACGCCATGTTCGAAATCGCCGGGCTACTTCGAATGGGTCCACACCATGAGGACCGTTCCGGACAAGTTTATGCTATACCACCAGTCGCTTGATTCGTACTTGTTCCTGCGATTCATGAGGACTCTTATCTTCATCTGCGTCGGCGGTGCAGTCATTACCTGGCCTATCCTTCTGCCTGCCAATTATACCGGTGGCGGCAATTCCAAGGAACTTAATCGCGTTGGTATCGGCAATGTGAAGCACAAGGACCATCTCTATGCGCATGCCGTTGTGGCATGGATATTTTTCAGTTTTGTCATGTTCACTGTTGCGCGGGAACGCCTATGGCTCATCGGACTGCGACAAGCATGGAACTTATCGAAGCCGAACGCGAAGAGGTTGTCTTCACGCACCGTACTCTACCTCTCAGCACCTACTGCAGCTCTCGACGAAGGCAACATGCAGCGGTTCTTCGGCGACGATGCAGTCAGGATCTGGCCAGTCACCAAAGGCGAGAAGCTTGTGTCGCTCGTTTCAGAGAGGAACTCGAAAGTCGAGGAGCTAGAGGGCGCTGAGATGTCCCTGATCCTGAACGTCAACAAGGAAGTTGGAAAGAGCCATAATCGAAACATCAAGTATGAGCAGCTACCCAAGCAGATGAAGAAATCCCTACGACCTACACACAAATCCAAGACACCAGTGGTTGGCAAGGAAGTTGACAGCATCAGCTATTTCCGAGACCAGATTAAGGAGAAAGAGAATGACATCGAGAAGGCTCGCGAATCGAACGAGACAGCTGAGAGTCTTGGTGGAGCTGCGGCGGTCTTCGTTGAGTTTCGCACCCAGCCCGCGGCTCAGAGAGCCTACCAACAGATCGCATCGTCTGACATTCTGTCTCTCACCCCTCGCTTTGTCGGTACTACGCCCAATGAAGTTATCTGGGCCAACCTGAACCTAGCACCTGCGCGTCGGATATCTCAGAGTGGAGTTGCCATCACCCTAGTCGTCGCTGTCATCATACTTTGGTCCATTCCAGTTGGAGTAGTCGGTGCATTGTCGAATGTTGAATATCTCGCCGAGAATTTTAAATGGCTCGCGTTCCTCAACAAGCTTCCATCCGGACTTATGAGCCTACTTAGTGGTCTCCTACCTTCTCTGGCCTTGAGCGCGTTGGCTAGCTACGTACCTAAAATCTTTAGGTGTAAGTGTCCTCCTTTGACCTATATTGCTACCTTCGGGCTGACATGATGCAGACATCTTTACAAAATTCGGAGAGCCGACTAAGACTGTCATTGAGCTGAAGGTGCTCAAGTGGTACTTTGTCTTCCAAGTACTGCAGGTCTTCCTTGTCACCACACTCGCTTCAGGTGCTGCAGCGGTAGTATCGCAAATCGTCAAAGACCCAAGCCGAATACCACAGCAACTCGCGGAGCGTTTGCCGAGAGCATCAAACACCTATCTGGCGTACTTCATTGTCCAGGCTTTGACCAATGCCCCAAGTAACATACTGAACTACACCGACGTGCTGTCGTATGTTTTCTATGACAGATTCTTCGATAAGACCCCCCGTCAGAAGTACAACAGCTTCATCACAATGAGGGGCATGGCTTGGGGCAAGCTATTCCCGAAGTACGGCAACTTTGTCGTCATCGGTAAGTCATCTCAGATATCACAGACGACCTGTTACTGATCTATCGCAGCGATTGTTTACTCCTGTATCGCGCCTCTCGTTCTTGGCGTCGCTGCTATCGGTCTTGTAATCTTCTACTGGTGCTACCAGTACCAGCTGTTGTATACCGCGACACCGAAAATCGACACTAAAGGACATGCGTACACGCTTTCTCTGCAGCATCTTCTCACTGGTGTCTACATAGCCGAGCTGTGCCTTATCGGTCTCTTCAGTTTACGCGAAGCGACTGGTCCTCTAATCATGCTTGTCGTTCTACTTTTCGCCACCGCCATCTTCAACTATATCACGAACCGTTACTTCGCTCCACTCGAACGATACCTACCCGCGGATCTCGCGCTCGACTCTGAAGACGGTGAGCAGGCACCACTACTGTCTTCGGCAGAGGAAGGCGAATCTGAAGCTCTTCAGCACGCAGAGTCGAGGATTGATCGCGTGAGCGAACGGACGCGTGTGCCGTCCAAGGTCGTCTCGCCTGTTGCCCGGTTCCTACAGCCACACGTCTTCGGTAGCTACACTGCCTTGAAGGCTTGGCTACGTGACGGCGAATTTGACGAAGATGAGGAACCTCAATACAGCGAAGAGGACCTGAAGAAGGCCTATCTGAACCCTGCTTTCACGAGTAAGACGCCGGTTGTTTGGTTGGCAAAGGACAGTATTGGCGCGAGTAAGCATGAAATTAGTGAGAACGAGAAGACGGGACTGAACGCTACCGATCAGGGTGCGTGGATCACGGGCGATGGGAAGTTGAAGTGGAGTGTGGATAACTTCGAAGAGGTTCCTGTGTTCAAGAAGGCTATCAAGTGGTGAGGGCATGAGGGATGGGTGAGACTGGAGTTAGGGCAGTAAAGACGAATACAAGTGAAAAGTCAGGAAGAGAATCTCGTAAATTCACGAATACTGTTGTTGCATGTCGCTGCAGACCACATGAGTCGTGGCCGCGTACCAAACAGCCCCTACTCTTCCTCATCCTCCTCCCCCTCTCGCTGCTCCTCAAAAGTCTTCCTCCCCTCCTTCGCCAACGCCCCTTCATCCTCACCATCGTCCTCCACTCCAGCTAGAACAGCAGTCTTCACGTACGCCAACTTCTTCACCTCGCTCTCTTCGAACAACTTCATGATCTTCCCGTACACGGGGTTCTTCTTGGGGAAGAAAGATAGACAAGCTAGGTCCTGGGGCGTGAGACTGTACTTGTTCTTGCACTCTGTTTGATTGATGACGTCGGATGGCTCTTCGGTGAGGTTCGAGTCGGCAGCGGGGGTGTGTGCGGATATGTATGCTGACCACTTTTGCTTGGGTGTTTTTTCTTTGGTGGGTTTGGCGGGTTTAGCTGGTGCTTCCTTCTTCGATTTTTCTGGTTTGGCCGAGGTTTCCTTCTTCTCTTTTGCCGGCGTGGACTTATCGGTCTTCTTCACCTTCGTCCGTTTCGCTTCGTCCTCAGACTCAGGATCGTCTTTATGTCTGGAATCTCCTGTTAGTATATCTCCTCCATCAGACGACACACACATGTCAACTTACTCTGCTTGCCAAATCTCCTCCCCCTTCCTCAAAACCTCCCCATCACCTCTTCCCACCCCTTCCAGCATTCCCATCTTCCTGAAGGATAACTCTCTCACGTTCTCCTCGAGGAACAACTTCATCGTGCCACCATACAACGGGTTCTTCTTCTCGTACCGCAGCAGGGACGTCAGTTCCTCTTTCTTGAGCCCGTACTTCTTCAGCGCGTCGGTTTGCGTGATACTTTCTTCCTTGTCGGGTTCTTCTTCTAGCATCTCGCCTTCGACGGTGTGGGAGGCGAGCCAATCCTGCCAGTGTTGTTTGTAAAGGGCTTTGTCGGCTTTGACCTGTTTATCATGGGCTTCTTGTGCGAGGGTCTCGGGGTCTTTCTTTTGGCGCTTGGGTTTGGGGGCGGTTTCGTTCGTGGAAGCATTGTCGTCGTCGGATTCAGCGGGGCGCTTGGCGTTCATGGGGGCCTTCTTTCCGGATACGGTGGTCGCGTCCGGTACTGCTTTTGTCCTTCTTGTAGGTCCTTTGGGGGTAGCTGTAGTTGTCTTTCTAGGCTTTCGCTTCTTATCCTCGAAATCCGAGCCTTCGGATGCGGACGTGTATTTTACCGCTTTGGTAGCGCGGCTGGATTTGCGTGTTGACATTTCGGCTTTTGGTGTGGTGTTTGTTGTTTGGATATGCTGAACTCGAGAGAACTGTGATACCCGGATGGGAAGGCTGTTAACGAATCTCGTCAAGGGTGAATGCTGAAGCGAATTCTCCAGACAGAAGAGGGAGACGGGGTCGTGATTGTTTATAGGTCGGAGACTTCCGTAATCTCTCGCGTCTTACGACAAGAAAAGGACAAAGCAGGTTTCACGTTGCAGTGTTCCTGCCGGATCGGATTGGGCAAGTTCGCGTTGAAAGGAACGCTTGGACTTACGCAGGAGCGATTGTAAGATTAGACGCTACGTCATTGCGGCGATCGTGCTGCGAAAACCATGTTTTGGTTGCCGTGTTGCGATTGTGTATATAATATTAGTGCAAGAGGCCAATATAATAATTCAGGCGGTTGTTGTTGTCAAGTTTTCTTGTGGAAGTGGTTTCTTTCCTACGAGTGCGTACTGGCGTTCATCAGCCCTGCACGTGCTAACATGGGCACTGTTTGCATTGAGCCTAGTTTAGGCGCGCATTAAGCTGAGTCAACTGGCATACCTCAGGTTGCTACTGCCTGCTTCTCATCATGAGAATCGATTGTATTTCCTCAAAACTGCAATGAACTTCCCCATTCAGTCAACGCGCAGACTATCTATCCTTTCCACAACATCCATGCCATCCACACCTTTGATCAAATCTGCCGCCTTCTCTGCAACAGCATACACTAAGCTGACAATGTTTCCTTGTACATGAGTTGGGAAGATACTAGCATCCACCACCCTCAGTCCCTCTACGCCGTGAACTTTGAGCTCCCCATCTACAACACCACCTTTCTCCTTTGGTAGCATGGCACAAGTACCAACGGGATGATATTCCGTCACCGTACTGTTCTGCACAAAGGTCTTCGCTTCTTCGAGTGTTTTGGGCACTGGACCGGCGGTTTTAGACGTGATGAGATTGCCATCAGAGTCTCTGCGGAGGGTTGACGCAAAGGGCTCTACGTCTGTGAAGGTGATGCAGTGAAGGACCGCTCGAGCCATCATGTCGAGGTCAAGAGGATGGGAGAAGTACGCTGGGTCGATGGTAGGATGCGCAGTTGGATCCGAACTGTTGATATGCACACTACCGCGAGACAGAGAACGTGTACTGCATGCGCCAATGGTGCACCACATACCCTCTTCTACAGACGGAAACAGTCCGCTAGCCGACTCTGGGTTCTGCATCTGTGCGCCCGTAGGCAGCATTACGATTTGACAAACTGCTTCTTTAGGATCGAGGAGTTGGCGCCCATAGAGGGTGTCGCGACCTGCAGGGTCGGCATCGGGATGTCTACTGCGGAAGTCTTCAAGGAGAGATTGGATGTGCGACTCTGCGTTTGGAAAGTCGGGTTCGATCTTTGCAAGTGAGGCGAAGCCTGTCGTTGTAGGCGCTCCTGCAAATGGGCCGGCTTTGTGGGTAATGTATGCTTCTAGGGCTTGCTGCATGACAGCTGGGTTCTGGACGAGAGCTTCGGCGGTTGGGTATTCATCCTTCACACCCTGGAGAAGGTCAGTGTATGAAAGTAACCAAAGCAATATATACACTTACCAGTACGAGACCAGTAGCTGTATGATCGGACAAGTTCTCCCCGACGCCTGGGAGATCAACGAGGACGTCAATTCCAGCCTTTCCAAGTACAGTAGATGACCCGATACCGGAGAGTTCTAGGATTTGGGGGGAGTTGACAACCCCGCCGCAGACTATGACCTCTTTGCTCGCCTTCATCATGTGCGTAGTGCCATCAACTGTGAATTGAACACCGGTGGCCTTGACACTCTCAGCGGCCTTCTCAAGCTCGATTTTAGAGACCAGCGCATGAGTGATAAGAGTCATGTTTGACCTGTCCGCGTTGGGCTCGTAGTAATCTCTCGCAGCGTAGCTTCGTCTGTTGTGCTTGGGGTCGATAGTGTTGAGCTGATTGAAGCCGCCAATCGCCGAGCCGGTACGAGGATCCTTTGCGGGCGAGTATCCGGCGTTTACTACAGTCTTGGGCCACACATCCTGACCCCAAGTTACATCGGTTTCGGGGAAGGATATCTAGTTCGATCAGCAAGATCCATGAGTTGCCAATGACGACTGACATGAACAGGACCAGAGGTGCCGCGAAGTGATTTGTCGAGGTATTTGTCGTCCATGCCCTTTCCGAAGGTATCTGATGCTGGGTGATATGTTTCGAACTTTTTGTAGTAGGCCTTCATATCGTCAAAGGACCAGCCTTTGTTGCCGAGCTCTGCCCAGTTGTCCAAGTCTTGCTTGGAAGCCATGCTGAACATGTTGTAATTGATAGCTGAGCTCCCACCGAGGACTTTGCCTCGGGCCCAGCCGTGCACTCGACCGACTGTGCCCTCCTGCTAGATTGTTAGATGAAGCCAATTGCAGCACATCATGTGCTTACCTGAGGGACAGTTTTGTAATCCCAATCATATTGTGGTTTGCCCCACAGCTGAGTGAACATGTTTGGTGCATCGATCAAGAGGTCATTCAGTCCATTGCCGCCAGCTTCAAGGATAGCTACAGAAACGTCGGGGTCCTCTGTTAGACGAGCTGCAATGACCAAGCCCGCGGTGCCACCTCCAACAACGATGTAGTCTGCAAGTATCGAAGAGTTAGCAAAGAAATGTACTGATGAATATGTACGTACCATACGACTTGCTTGTCAATTCCTCGAGAGACATATTGGGTCAACAGTTGTAATATCTTGAATGATCCGAGAGTGCGAAAATTAGACCAGACTATATATGATGGCGTACTGCAGTGATAAAGTAGTGTTTCTCAAAGATCTGGAGTGCGAGGTCAAGGCTATCAGGTGGGCGGGGCTGCGCACTACTGTGCCTTGGACCTGCAGGGCTGGCTTTTGGGCTGCCACGAGGCTTGTTCGAGAACCATGTCCGCAGAACCCCCAGACCATAGCCCCATACAGTTGCAATAGGCGAGAGTACACCGATGGACCTCGTGCCAGCTCGCTCCAGGCATCCGGTCAGTACTCATTGGGCAAAGAGCAATACCAAACGGATGAACCGAGCAGTCCATTAGCTCTCGTGGTAGTTCTTCGAGGCGTCCGTGTGGGGATCTAGATTGGCGATGGGTTCACGCGGGGCAGTTCTTTGTCGGCCTACCCGTGAATGTAGCTGGGTAGGCATTCAGCATTCGGTAGCCGTGATCATAGATATTCCCGCACCACATCACACATGTTACTAAAACTGTTGCCGGCGAGTTGAGCGTGTTTCAGTTCCGCACTAAAGTTCACCTTCCTCGATAAGTCGTGATGTTACGAGAAGGCGACGAGCTGACGCAGCAGAATCCACTTGGTACGCGGCTGAACAGCCCTATGTCAGCCCTTACCTGTGGCCAAGATGGCTAGGCTACTTGCATGCGGGGTAGCTTTACGAGCTTTCGTCAGGCCCCGGGCCATGTCTCGGCCTCGTGATAGCAGCAGCGAAACGGTCCCGCAGGCAAGACGCCGCTCTTTTCATTCAAAATCTGCGCGGCGACCTCGACTAATGCAAAAAGATGTGCCGAAGGATGCTGATTTGGAGCTCTGTGTGTCGTCGACGGGTGCTGTGTCTAGAGCTACTTCGGATGGGACCTCGAGTAGGTCCAGACGGCCGTGGTAATTATCTAGACACCCGCAATCGACGGCTTTGGACAAGTTGCCCGATTCGGACCATGCCGCGGCTAGGTGCACAGACCCCCAGTCTGCGAATGCTCCACCAAAAAGTTTCTAGAGCTTGCAACTTTCGACTTGCGACAACGAACTTCCGCAATCACGCCCGGCCATGCTCACCGAACAATTCGTCGCCGCCATATCGGTATCGACTAAGCCAAACACGGGCGTCACCAAAGATGCGGGTATCTTCGTCCACGAGTTCCAGCCGCTCGTCGCCCAAAGACAGGCGCTCAAGAAGAGCGCGGCTGCGCCAAATGGCATAGCTGTGAGCGCCTCACATATCTTCGCTGCGCAGTCGGAGAAGGCGATTGTCCATGTCTACAGCAGAGAGAAGGGCAACCAGGAGGCCCTCGTGCCCTTCCCGGAGAGGATACACAGCATCGCACTCGCGGCGCAGGACAGCGTGCTCTTGCTGGGGACTGAGAGCGGGCGCATACTAGCCTGGGAGGTCAGTCATAACTTTGGAATGATACATGTAGTGTGCGACTTCTCTAATACACATCTCAGGTCTGCTCAGGCCGTCTTGTCTCCACATCCACGTCCCATCTCCAGCCAGTCACGAGTATCGTGGTCGACCCGTCGTCCAACTTCTTCCTGTCAGGCTCCTCGGATGCCATGATTCATGTATGGGCGCTTCCCACGATACTGTCATTCTCTCCCGACGCCTCGCGTTCGCCCATGCAGACCCTCTCTACCCACCGCGGCCCCATATCGTCCATCGCTTGCGGGCACAGCTCGAGCACTGCCAACATCGCCGTGTCAATATCAGGGGACAAGTCTGCTATAGTATGGGACTACCACAATGGCCAAGCTCTGCGCACATATCTGCTGCCTGAGACACCGACTGCAGTCACTCTCGACCCTGCAGACCGGGCATTCTATGTGGCTTACGCTGACGGCAGCTTACAAACCATCGACTTCTACGATGACGTCCAGAAGACTACCTCAATAGACGTCCTTCGAGATAGTGCCTCGTCTCACCGGCCAATTCAGCCGCCGCCGAAGAGCCGGTTCAATGCAGAGTCGCAGAAGCTCGGCGGAGCCCTCTGTCTGAGCCTTAGCTGGGACGGCACAGCAATAATATCGGGCCACGCCAGCGGCAAGATAGCACTCTGGGATACTGCAAAGTCCAACTATCTTTCCACCCCTGCCAATCTTCCTGGTCCTGTCTCAAACCTTCGATTCCTCCCGCCGACTGGCTTTCCCAACGCACCGGAACCGACTTTCAAGATCCAGGCTATTGTCAAGCCGAAACAAGATGCAGGGCTGACGAGCAGCGTAAATGGCCTGATTCCGCCAAACTATACCTTGAACCTGCAGCTGACGGGTCGGCTGCGCAGCCCCCACGTTTCTGCCACTGAGAAGAGATCTGCGGGAAGAAGCGCCTTCGAGGAAGCTCTTACGCACTCCAGTTTCCCTGCCAGTATGCTGGAGGAGAGCTTAGCCGAGCTGGACTCCTGGGCTGCCCAGCCCAAGGGCGCTTCAGCCTCGACAGCCGACTTCATGGCGCTGGACGAAGGTAGTGCGAGTACATCCGATTCCTCAGGCAAAGCTCAGCAGGCCGAAGTAAAGGAGTTGAAGAAGCAGCTTGCAAGTCTCCAACGCATCCAAAAAGTTACATTCTCCCAACTTTCAGAATTGCGCGACGAGAACGACTACTTCAAGGGCCAAGAAAAGAAGAGGGCTGAACGCACCAAAACACGAGCGAAGAGAAGAACGGGTGCTAACGGCGCAACTCGCAAGCAGACCAACGGGGATGTGGAGATGAACGACGGCACAGACGCCACTTCCGGGTCTGAATCGGATGATACCGATGCAGCTGACGAGTCCTGAGCACCGACGATAGCGGGGCTGCGTACAAGGCCACGATACCGACAAAGGTTCTTCGCGATAAGGCGGCTCCAGCGGCATAGAATGGGAGAGATGCTGCACATGCTTGCGCCCGCAGTCTTGGTATAACCGCAGCACTAGACTTCGATATGTAGTACGTTTACGCGACTAGTGTCCTGATCGCCTAGCATGTACATCACGACATGGCAAGAGTCCGAAACACCACGTCGGAAAACCGCGGCATTGATATCCTTCGCCTACGTTTCCCAGCCGGTGAACTCCGAGACTTCTCATGTCAGACCCCCAAGACGAATATTCGTATTCACGAACTTTCTACTGTATCGCGAAAACCACAAAGACGCCCGGGTCAAAGTTCTTGAACACATAGCCAAGCCCTCTTCAAGCCGTCATCACACAAAGCGGGGTAGCCCGTGCAGGTTTCCTCTTCGCAATTGTGCTACTATTGACGAACATGATTGTACTGCGCAAGCACGACGCCGTGTCTTCAATGTCACGCTTGGATCAACGTCAGCTGCACCGCGGGACGAAAAGCCAAGTTCAGAGGCTGCGGCCGGTTTTCGATCACGCAGCTCTTCAACCCGTCCTGCTGTGCTACTGCTCGGCTTACGCCGCAGGTTCATGCTTCATTCCACGGACCTCTCTCTGTTAATGAGCCGCCTTTGGATGAAAGGTGGAGGCAATGTAGTTGGCTGCTGTGAGACACGACCTCATCATCCGGCCGGCAATTGCAAAACTTTGCCTTTCGCTGTGCGTGAGCCGCAAGCTTCACTTTTCTCCCCAGGACGAAACAGAGCAAGAGTCAAGGCATGTCTCGAGCGGTGTGAGTATACTCGCATAATGTGCGACCTCGCGCGGGCCCTATACCAGCCGTCCCGCTATAGTGTGGAGCGTGGTTCCTGCTGCACACCTGACTCGCAGGGGCCAAAACCAAGCGACTATCGAACTACTACCCACCCTCCCACCGATCCTGCGAACAGCCGTTCCAAGATGCCGCCAACGCAATCCTGTTTGTTTCAACGAACACACACACACCTTTTGCCCCGGTGGTGGGGAAAGGCGTACAGAAAAGACGGTGAACGAATAGCGTTTCGTGCTGCCCATATGCTCGCTGCCCCTGTACCGTAAAATGCCGTACACAACACACGCACACACACAATAGAACAAGTTCAATATTACAAAAACCCCTGCCTCAACTACTCGCTTCATTCAGCGAACCGCGTATCTTGCATTGAACCCCCGCCACTCGCTTCCGAGATCGTAAACATGACTCTTTTCTGCAACCTTTTTGTTAGCTTCACTCACGCATCCTTCCTCAGACATCCGCACTCCCTAGGCAGATTTTCTCTCTGCCTTGCTTTCCCCATCTCCCCGAAAAAGCAAAACTGTACTTGTATGAGTAATCAACGTTACACACACACCACACACAAGCTCTTATACCAGGCTAGTCGCGTATGGGGCAACGCGCGTTGCGCAATCCCTGCGAGCACATGCATAATGGTTCGATCTTGCTGCGATGGGCGGACGGAGACGGGTGTTTAGACCGTATATAACATGCAAATAATCAGAGTATTGCAGAGTGCAGGGCAGGGCGTGATCGTCCGATGAATGTGGGAGGAGAAAAGGGAGTGGAGATTATTTTTTAACCGCCGATCTTATGCGTTGCCGAGGTGTGAGAGATGTAACGTGGGGGCTGGATCTGTTGGGAATAATGATTCGGTATATTGTCTTGGGAATGAGGAATGGTTTGAGATTGTTCGCCGACGACTGGGTCGAGGTTGCAAAGAGCCAGACTTTCGGGATACACTATAGTGTGATGAGGTTGCATAGGCTCGGATCTTTCTCCTGCTCTGCAATTGCTTCTGCGGCACGCAGGGTGGGCTTCCTTGTTCAGGGTCCATGTCATAGTGGAGTCACATATACATCACGTCGTCATCTTCAGTAAGTGGGATACCTGGGTTTATATTGGTTTGTTTTTTACGGTCCTCCTTGTCCATTGTAATGCCATCGGCGACAAGGCCGCCTGCAAAGTGATAGAGATACCTTATCCTCGGTCATGGCTACTGTGTGTAGCTTCTGGGACATGGATCCTTGCAGCCTGGGCATGCCATGTCCTGATCGGACGCAGGCCGAGGTACATCTTGAAGATGTAGGATTCTCAACGAAGGTATTCGTGGGGGCTAGCAACAATTCGTTCGGGCCAAGGGATTGAAGAGCAGACGCAGACGGGTCCTGTGCCGCACTAATGGGTTTTCCAGTGTAGTGGGGCGCGGCAATCATAGTCATGGAAAGACCGTGCATACCGAATAGTGTTTGTATTAAACTGAGAGAAGGTGTATGGTTAAGATATGTCGAAGGTGATGAGTGATCGCTAATAATGCCATGGGAGAAGGGAACAGACAGAAACCAATAAAGATGTTCAACTCTAAAGTCGATCACCCTGAGGCAGATAGTCTTTGGTATTCGTCACGGTCGTAGATCCTTGCGGGTTTGGCTTGTAAGGAAGAAAGAAGGTACAGTACTCCGCCCTCGCTTGATGGAAATAGGTCGTGGATGGATGCTAGATTGGAAGCATCTGCGGGTGGCCAAATAGCCCGAACTTAGGCACTGTGAGTACAGTCGCTTTTGCGTGTGTAGAGGTGATTGGGCGATATTCCGAAAGAGGTTAAATATGGTATCGGTCGTCATTCGTCGTAAGTGTGCTGAGGCCGTGGAAGTATGATGCAGGATGCCGAGAAAGTAGAGCAAGCTCGATAAACGCCACGCTAGTAGTCGCTAAGATATCGGGAAAGGGCCACCAGTGAAGCGCGGGGTCGAGTTCGGGCATAGAAAAGTGTTCAAGATGAGTGTGACTTGTGGCGGCCTTTGTTCCCTATGGAGTACTCGCCGTCCGGACACCATTGCTCGGGTTCAAAGTCGGGATTCATGAAATGCGCAGTGTTGAAGTGAGAACTCGTATATGTCAGTTAAGGTCAACAGGCATTATCGGGCCGATACTCACTTGCGAAAGATGGACGTTTGAAACGGCTGGACTTGCATCGAAGAGCCAAAACCTGGTTCCAACTCGTACATTGAAGGCCGGAAAGGGCCGCCTCTCTCAACACCCATGGGAGCTGCTCGGTCGATGCTCACGGGTGGCGGTGGGGGGTGTATGGGGAGTGTCACAGGAGGTTGGTCGAGATGTATGCTGTGATGACTCGGCGGGTTGTACTGGCTTGCGTTGCTAGAATGGAGTGGTGTAACAAAGTCCAAGTGGGAAGTGCTAACCGGCGTTACAGGCGTCGGTGTCGGGGCGTATGGCTGGACAGGCGTAACCTGAGGATGAGAAGTGGGACTGGGGCTGAAGTCGTACGAAAGTGAAGGCCATCGCTGGCCTAGACCGACACCAGAGGGGTACATTCCCGGGATCATGTTCATGACGTCGCCGACGTTGGTAGCGGTCGGTATGAATTCGTCAGTGTAGTTGGCTAGGGCAACATGAAGTGGTTGCTGTTGGGGAACAGGCTGGTGCTGGACTTGTGGTATGTCTCCAGCCTTGTATAGGATGTCGTAGTGGCCACTGGGGAGAATTAGTAGGCGAAAGATAGTGCCATGCACGGTGTGTACTTACGGCCTATAAAGCAGTCGTAACATGGGCGCACCGGGGATGGGGCGATGATGGGCGTCTGTCGGTTCTGAGTAGAAGCTGCGGTTGATCTCTTCGCCTGGTGAGCGGTCCAGATACCATACTTCGAGACCAAACCCAGCAGGCTTGATCAGCGCTTCGGCAAGGGCGGCAATGCCAACGTTGTCGGCTTCACACTGAGTGGGTTCGATGAAGTTGGAGCAGTATGTTTTGACGTCGCCGTTGTCTACAAAGTGCATAAAATCATCTGCGTGCGTCTGCACCCATGCACTGGCTAGGAGCTGGAGGGGGAGTTAGCAATTCGAATAATGAAAGATGTGGAATGCAAACCTTGACGTAGGTGATGATTGCCATAGACTCGCCCGGGTCGTTGAAAGTACGCAGGAGAATGCTATCGGCTTGGCCATTCATGGCGCGCAGCGATTCGGCAAGCCTGGTCATGAGCTCGAACGCCTCTTCGGCAAAGTCAATCCAGATATCGCGCGAGTAGCCGATATTTGAGAGCAAGTTGCCCAGCGAGTTGAGGCGGCCTTTTTCATGGTCCAGCTTGCTCACGTCGCCCACATGCAGCAGGGCCTCAAGATAGGTGAAGGCGATTGCTGTTCTTATTAGCACGGGCAAGCAGCACGAGGAAAGCGATGGGCACTCACCCCGCCATCCACAGTGGCCATCGCCACGGCAGGTGCGGAAGTAGGCATATTTGGCGGGCAACGCAGCGGTCTTGACCTGGAAGACGGGATCTGCGGTGGCATATTGCGTCGTGATGGCCGCGCTGCTTTGGCGTTCGCCCACCAGTGGGCCCTTGGGCGGTCAGCGCGCTTGGGCGAATATTGTCGCAGTACAACTCACAGTGGCTTCGGGCTCGTACTCGCTCGACAGCTTCTGCAGGTGGGCATAGTCGTCGTCGGAGGGATACGCGGCCATGTTGAGGTGGGGGTTGCGATGCTGGTGGCCTGGGTGATGGTGGCCAGTGTGATGATTATAGCTCCCGGGAGCAAGGACCGGCGCGCGGATAGCAAACGCTAGGCCGCCTTGGTAGTGGTTCTGAGCCGGAACTCCATAGTGGCCCTGGTGTAGGTGTGCATGCGGGTGATGCTGGCTGTGAGGGTGGTAGCCCGTCAACACCGACTGTCTGCTCATCTCGTCCTGCTATTATGCGTGTTTTGGCGAGTGTGTGCGATTGTGTGTAGATTGCCGGCACCGTCCGTTCCCCGCTGTGTGCGCTCCGTTGGCTCCCTGATGGCCGTGGGCGTGACTGGCCTCAGTGGCTAGTAATTGGATGGAAGGATTCCACGACAGATCCGGCAATGCGCAAACGATCTCAGCAACAATTCGCCGGCGAGCTGCTGGCGAGGGCAGCAGCGTCTTTAGTAGGTGCAGAGGCCGGCGGCGGAGGGCTGGAGGCTGTGGTCGTTGCTGTGATACTCACGGGCGTCCAGGGGCACACGCCAATATATGGGAGAGACAGGAGGGGATCTTCGCGCGTGCCAGTGCAATTGAAGCTGCCAGGCACCAAAACAGTCTGCAACACTCTGGTCCAGCCGCTCTGAAACGGCCAATTTCAGTTGCACCGGATACCTGCGAGGGGAGACATGGCAGGGCGCGAGGGTGTACAAGAGGAATGCCACTCCACATAATCAGCGCCAGGGAGCATCGCGCAAAAGCAAGTACTATGAGATGCTCGACAGAGGCCTGCTACATGCTCCAAGACGACCCGGCTAGGCTTGCCCACCAACACCGGGGTGTGATATCGATTTCCGCTCCCACTAGTCTTCATGGGTTAGCATCTGGAGATTGAAGTGCACTCTTGATGCTCCGTCACATCAAACATGGAATCGCCGAGCAAAGAGCCGCGGAAGAATCAGAGTCACGAGACAGCGGGCATGACGACATGGGACCTCTCGCCAGGCGTAGCAAGCCCTCGAGCAGCGCCGCCAACCGGAACAATTGCAAGCCCAGGGCTGGCGTTGCATGCGTCGACGAGCAGAGGCTGTATCACGTCGTCGAGTGCACTCAACACAGCAGCATCGAGGCACCCATGGCGTCGAGCAACATGCCAAGACGACCCTCTGGCGTATTGTTGCAGTGGCCGCCTGCATGGCATGATTCGCTCTGCCGCTCCGTGGCTGGTGGCGCTTCTGCGACAGAAAAAACAAGTGCCCGCACACCCGAGATAAACTCTTGTCAAGTTACCGATCCCACGCCGCGTGCGAGTCAGGGCAGACACGGCGTGGGCGCTCCCATTAGCTGAGAGGCTCGCTTGCAACCCCCTCTTCGTCTGTGCCCGCTTCCCCGGCGCGCAGTGCCATGGCTGGGAAACCCGCCTGTGATGCGTATGTGTACGAGTGCAGTGAAGCTTCAGATCACCATGCGTCACATCGATAGTCGATTCACGGCTCATAGGCATCGAGATGGCGAGGCGTTAGTTGGCGGCAGGCTACCGCCATGACCGCGCGATCGGGACCTTGGCTGGTGGCCGTGAGAAAACGAGGCCATGTTACATACAGACGACTTCGCACCGCTGCTGACCTGTGGGTAATTGCACTCGATTGCGTGACCGAACATGTCCGTTGCCCGCCTACTATGTTGAGTCGCGTACCGCTCATGTGCACGGGAACTCTTGCCCGGTGCTACCCGACGAACCAACCCACATCTCCCTCTTGAGCAACCTGACCGCATGTCTCAATTATTTCAGGTCAGAAACGCCTCGGTGACGGTACTGTGCAACTCCCACTCTCCGTGCCCTGCCCGGAAACCCAGTTACAGGTCGTCTTGTGGACCGCGCGCGACCGATGCTGCAAGTCATCCTTTGCTCACTACCCCCGGGAGGCGTCCTGGACCCTTGCCTTTGCCTCGACCAGACTTGCCCCCCATCGAGCTTGAGTTCCAGCCGCTCATGCCTTGGGGCCCGCCACCACCAGGCGTGAACTGCGAACCGCTCTCGTCCGACTTGAAACCTTCGCCCTCGTTCAGCACCGTCTGCCATAAGGCTCCGATGGCGCTGCTCCACTCCTTCATCGCTTGCACCCTGTCCATGTCTGTGCTACTCTCAATCTCCACCGTTCCGTTCTGCTGGTTGATCTTGCCGCGCAACCGCTTGTCAACGATCAAGAAGCCTACGATTTCCTGCACTTCGGCAAGTGAGATCTTGAGCTGCTTCGAGATAAAAGCCAGTGTGAAGCGGGTGTAGGGTGCGACAAGCTTGACGACCGCCTTGGTGCGCACATTACGCGTAACTTCGTCAATGTTCTCGGCGATGAACGGATCTTGCAGCAAATCCTGGTTGTTCTGCAGGATCTTCTCATAGCCGTGAATGTCCTCTAGCTGATAGGCGTTGACTAGATCCGTCATAGTGGAGATGCGCGGGTCATTCTGGTAGGGCTTGGTCTCCTGCGAATCAAACGGATTGATGTCTGAACCCGATAGCATGGTCGCGAGAACCAGGTACTTCAGGACCTGTATCCGTTGGAGCGATCCCGCCTCGTCGTAGTTCTTGAAACTCTCGAAGAAGTCACTCTGCGCGCCTTTCCAGTTCTCTGCGATTGGTTAGTACTGAGTCCATGTCTTCGGCAGATACTGCTTGCCTTCGCTCATGTGCATCTTGCCACCACATTCACGGATGATGCCCATAATCTTGGGATGCGGAACTGCGGACTTAACCTTGAGCGCTCGCTGGTATAGTGCCTGTCTTAATGTTAGAGATAATGCAGGTAAATCTCAATGCAGATGGGCCTTACCTTTAGCCGCTTGTTGTTCCTGGTCTCGGCATACATGAGAATTTCCAACGAGTAGACTTCCAATGAATATGTGCCTTTGCTCGGGTCATCTGTTCCATCCTCCCTCTGACAGGCCTTGTGTAACTCTCGGAGCTTCTCCGTAAGCTGACGGTAGTCTTTCCTATCCAACCATAGCCTCGCCAGCTTGATGTTTGTCTTTAGCCAGAGCCGCTCGTTGTTGGTGCTCTGGAAGATGTCGAGGGTGAGGGCGTAAAAGTTCTCCATGCAGCGATATGCGTCGGCGTCTTCTGCGGCCTTTTCTATAAAGTCGAGCATGTTGTTAATGGACTTCTCCGAGTAATTACGCGTGACGGCCGACTTGACGTATGTAAGAAGCTCCTTGTAGTGTTCGACAGCCTGTACATGTCAGCTAGAGGTCTTGCTCGGGTATGACCATGGCTACCTTGTCGTAGCGGGCAAGCTTGAACTCGAGCTTGATTGCCTGCTTCAGCCCTTTGAAGCCCCTATGCGTTCGTCAGCATACATTCATTCCCCCAAATCTGCATATTTCCTACCAGTCCGACTTCTCTTCTTCTAGCGCGGGCATCCCCAGGAATTCGTCTATGGCTGCCTCGGGGTCGTCGGCCTTTAGCTGCTTCGCATTGTAGTATTTGTTCTCGATGTCGACGTCGCCGCTCTGCTCGTCATCGTCGTCCTCGTACTCGAAGTCGTACCTACAGCTTGTTAGAGGGGAAATTGCCTGCATGTCATGGCGACTTACTCCTCCTCGCCGGAGTCTTGCATGAAGTCGTCATCGTCAGACATGGTTGTGGCGTGGGTGATGGTTTGGTTGAACCACACTCGTATTCTCAAGTTGGAGTGATACGCGTGCGTTTTGCTATTAATCCGGTGGATAGAGGTATTTGCGGTGTGGAGTTGTCTGGAGCTCTCGCGACTTGTTTGCCTACGTGAGGCGGCGGTAGGTGCCTGCGGAAGAGCCCCACTTTCGCGGGGCTAAGCTCCCAGACGCAGCCAGCTGCAGTATCCTTGCCATGCATCGCAACATTCACTCCATTCTCTCTGAAGGAATGTATCAGGCGGTCTTGAGGCTGCGCGTTCGCCATCCCTATCAACATTGCACAAGTACGTCATTACAATTTGTGCCTGCGATCAATTTGGTTCCTACAGCAATCGGCTCCAGCTCCAAGCCATTTCCCGGCTCCTCCATCTCATCTCCCGGCGCACTGACGCAATGATGAATCTAACACTCCGACATTTGAGTAAATCTCCGGTTGTGAACATGAACAGTTATGAGGCCTCAAAGTCGCACAGAATCTGGATGAGGCTGTGCAATATTCGAGCATAGTGGCGTGCAGTAGGCCTGGGACTGAGGCATTAGACAGCATATGCTAAGTTCGCGACCTTCTTTTTTCGGTCCGGCTTCCAGCTGTGGAGAAGGCTCAGACCCCGGGCATTCTTATCCCAGAATCCCAGATCCCTTCTCAACCACTCGCCGTCACTAGCAGATCCCTTAACTCGGTTCACGGTCCTGGCCGTCATGTTAGTCTCATCGATCAATTCTTCCTTGCTGCCTGTGCACCGAGGTTCTGTCGCTGGCACTTGCTCGCGGCCGTTTCCCCAGGAACACTAACAAGTTTGACAGCTCTCTAAGATGACTTTGGGCGAATAATTGTTTGGCTCAGCCGGCAAACCCATCGCCCCGCGTCCGTGGTGCTTGCTAAATGGATAGCGTCAAAGCCGTGGAGTGGTCGCGGAGGTGAGCAGTGCCAATCGACCTTTCGGGCTTAGTCTTAGCGACGTGTGGATCTTCAACTCCATCCATCCATCGCTTGCATCTCCAGCCCAGCATCTGGATCCCCCCCGGCTTCCCTCTTACCTCACACATCCTTATCATCATCCGCTACCAGTCTCCGGTGCGACTCTCGCTCTCGTCCTCACCACATCCGCTGCCACGACCGCGACCGTCGTCCTTTGTTGCACCAACGCGCGCGCGCCTCTCGTCCCTGAGCCGACGACACGACCCAATCGCCGACTCTCCTTCCGACCTTCACGATGCCCATGTGCGGTGGAACAAAGTCTGTGCAGCGCAAGCTGGTGCTTCTGTACGTCTGCTAAATGCGGGGATGCCTCTTTGTTTGGGCGACCGAGGCGTGATGCGACGGAATAAGCTAACGTACTTCCAGCGGT